GAACCCCCGGCTGGGAACAATTGCAGGAACTTCTCCTTCACCCCGTGTCCTGACCGCACACGCCGTCCAACAGAGGTGTGAGAGGAGGGGGCTGCCCTGCCTCTGCTTCCAGAGGGGCAGAATTCCAGGGGGCCCTTCCCCGTGACGGTGCAGCTTCACCCAGGCCTTTGTCAGCCCGGTTGCCCCCCAGCCCAGCCCGCCGCTCGCCTCCCCTAAAGGTCGGGCAAGTCCCCCCCAGGGCAGGGGGAGGGAGCCGGAGAGGCGAGCAGAGAGGGCTCAGTGATGGGGAGAGGGCAGGGGGGGCGAGCTGACAAGGGGCTGGGTCTGAGAGCCGGGCAGCGAGAAGAGGGAGGGTGTTACAGCAGGGTGAGAGCGGCGGGGCAGCCGGGGAGAAAGAGAAAGCCGTGTCAGGTCAGGAGAAAGATCTGCCTCCGGTGAGCCGGTGCAGCAGCCAGGCACAGGCAGGAGCAGCAGGATATAGGAAAAGCTGCAGTAGGATGACTTAGCCAGGCAGGCTGAAAGAAGAAAAACAGACACACCTGGGTTAAGTGGCATATATTTCCCACTGTCACCTATGTATCCCACAAAAAAGACCTCAGCCTCTTCCCTCTTCCTATTCAGATTTAGGATTCACAAGCAGTAAATTCGGCTTTTAGTCATAACACCTCTCTCCCACCATCCACCCACCCCTTTCCTTGCATTTTCACTCTGAGTCATCCTCAACACCGGTGCCTGCCTACTGCTCCCTTCCAGGGTTTCACGGCCTCATCTGGGGCTTCAGCAGCTTCCAGCTCATTCTCCCTCCCTTCTCTCCCTTCCTCCTTCCCTGCCATTTGGCTGCTTCCAAATGTATCCCGCTTCAGTGAGTTGGTCCGGAGTGGCAGCACACCCACAGTGCCCCTCCTTTCCTACTAGCCACAGTGGTGTGCTGATAAATAGCATCCAAGCACCCATGACATTACATTCCTCCCTCTTCCTAAAGAGCTTCTTTATCTGCACATGTCAGGCTAATCAGGACTTTTTTTATCAAGCTAAAAGACCGGGCTGTTGACACTTTTCTCCTTCCACTGAGGGCAGTTCACGATTCCTGGCAGCGAGCAGTGTTTGGAGCATGCAGGGTCAATGCAGAGAGAGGGAGAGAGAGAGAGGTACCGCTGCAGTGGGAAGACCTTCCAGTTTCCTCCAGCCCTGTGGTTTGGAGACAGGGCTGCGTGCAGCTGGTGCTGTGGAGAGCTGGCAGGCACCGGCTTCCGGCAAGGCAACAGGTTCCCCATAGCTGTGTGCTGAGGGATGGAGGCACTCCGTGCTCCCTGCTCCCCTCCAGCCTCCCGCCGCTGCTGCCCAGCCATAAATCAGGTGCTGCTGTCCTTTTGCACAGCCGGCAGAAAGCAAATAAGCAAAGGTGTGTGAATGTGTGTGCGTGTGTGTGCACGGAAAAGGAGGAGGGGGCTAGCTAGCAAACATGGATTCGAGATTTTCCTCTCCCCAGTGGCTGTGCAAAGGAATGAAAGGTCTGCACCGAGGTAAGGAGCCCTAATCCAGCCAGAGTGGTACACTCCGCTCTGGGGAGGAGGAGTGGGGGTTGGGAGGTGGAGGGGCCAGGGGACAGAGTGCAGGATGGGGAAGAAGCAGGGAGACAAAAGGGACCAGAAAGAGAAGGCTCTCGTTCCCTTCCCTCCCCTCCTCCCTCCTCGAGGTGGGCTGAGAAATTTCTAATCAGCACTTTCAGTCGCTTTCCTCCCAGCAGCAATTCCTCTCTGTCCTTTGTCTTTAATTTTTGGCTCTTGCGTTTATCTTTTGTTTGGTTTTGCGCATTGTGAGTTCTTAGGGCAATTTCAGAAAATCCTGTGTGAGGCACAATGGATTTGGTTTGGCTTCTCCCCCTCCTGTCCTGCTCTCCCACGTGCCTGAAGCGACTGTTTTAATAACAACAGCAAATGGATGAAGAGCAGGTCGTTCTTTATTCCTTCCTGTGAGGTCACACGGGTTAAGATATGTGTGGAACTGTGCTCTCATTCTATAAAAAGAAGACACAATTTGCCAAGTATCCTCAGTCCCTGTGTAAAGCCTGTTCTTGTAAATTACCAAGTGCAGCTTGATTCTGGAATGAATCCTCCCCTTGTGTTTACCATTTTCTTATTAATGCTGTAATTTCTAATGCATTTGAAACAAGAGCATAGTGCTGTGCTGGCTACTGAATTTCAGTTTTAGTACAGAACAAGCAGATCAAATTTTTCCTGCCTCACAACTTGGACCAAGCTTGGAAAAATCACAATTAGAAGACTGTCCATGTTAAAATGAGATCTTTTCTCTCTGATAAGTGCTTTTCCACCAGTAATTCAGCACTCAGTCCCTGTATACTGTTGCTGTACCTGTTCTTTCCCAGCCACAGTTCAGGAGGGCAGGCAGAGGGGGCATGCTGGAGCACAGTTGTGTCTTTGCTGGTTTTGGCTAGCTGACCACACTTACTGGGAAGGCAGGGAAATGGTTGGACTTTTTTACTGGTCCTGACTTCCCTTGCCTGGTTTCACAGAGCATAGCAGTGTAGGGTAACTGGGAAGAAATCTCGTGTTTTTCTTACTTTGTGTTCCTGTGAGGTCACCTTGAGTGAGACTGGCGGCAGTGGAAATCCCAATGCCATCCCCAGGACAGGTATTATGGCTTGGTGTTACAAGGCTTGGAGGGATTCTTCACATTTCTTTTGCTTTGCTCTGAGGCTTCTGATGAGTGATATTTCTGGGAATGATTTCTGGGATGCTGAACCAAGTCTAGATCAGGAGGCATCTGACAACTGTAACAGGTTTCAGACAGCAGTAAGACAGGGTGGGTTTGATCTGGTGGGCAGAGATAATTCACCTGAAAGCATCCAGGGTGACTTTTGTGAGTGTGTGAAAGGGGCTGTGGTAAGGGAGTGTAAGGAGCACAGGGAAGCTGATAAAGAGAAAGAAGTGAGGAGCAGGGAGTGCCTGGGGAGAGCACCACAGGGAATGGGGAAAAGCAAGGAATAGTCCAGTGCCTGCTGCAGTCATTCTGCACAGCCTGGGCTGTCCTACATGGAGTGCTTTTGTGTTAAAGCTCTGTGCTGTGAGTGCTGCCTGTGCAAGGCCTCGCTCTTCTGCAGCTGCTTTGGGTTTTCCCCTTTCCAGGTTAAGTAGCTGGAGAGCTGAAATTCTTGGTTTGCTGTGGAGCTGTTGAATACAGAGCCATGCTTTCACCTCAGCTGCAGCTGACTTGTTCAGGCATTGGTTTCTTGCTTCCAAAAAAAGTTGACAATTAGTGGTCACGTTGCTGAGAACACAAGTCTGATAGGAACCAGACCAAGACATCCAATTAATTTCCCATAAGCACTGGACACAGTCTGATGGTGATGGCTTTTGCTGATAAATTGCATGGATTGGATTTAGTCCAACGTGAGTAGGCAAGAACCTGTACAATACAATCTCAGTAATCCCACTGGCTCTCCATTCATCTGTTTATGCATCTCTTTATAATTTCTGAGTTTCTGGTCTCAAAGCCCAGATCTTGCCCTTCCTGATTCAAGCTTGATCCACATATGAAAGTATAAATGGTGTGCCAGTATTCAGCAGTGGGGGAGAGAGCACTTTGAAATGATGCAGAATATCCAAGGTGCCAAAACCAACGATACTTTTGCCCAACAGTTCATGTTATTTGGGTAGGGGTATAAGCTTCCCTAAGGCCACTGTCTCTTACCACGCAATGGATGCTTTTCTGCCAAAGCCCTGAGGTTAAAGTCTAGGAGTAGCTTTCCTGACGAGGTGCCTGGTTCAGGATCCAGTGATTTCCATTCTGCTGTGTGCTCAGCTGCCACTCCTGTCAATAAAGTAACATGAAAATGGGGGATGCAATTTTTGTAGTTTTGTAGAATCAGCTGTACTACCTCAGACAAGCAGTAGCATGAGCCAAATAATTGCAAAGAAAGAGATGAGTTGCATGATATGATATGATGAACAGATAGGGAGACCCATGTGACCTGAAGAATAATGTGTGCTGCCTTCCTTCTCTTGGACTCCAGTCTTGTGTGCTCCAGAAGGATGCAGCCTGAGACATGTTCCACTGAACTACAGAATTTGGCCTTGCCATTACTTCCAGGGTTTGCTGCTTCAGATCAGTTTTATTCTAACCACATGATATTTAAGGTCTCCTCCAACCCATACCATTCTGTGATGCTATTCCTAGGGGCTGTGTAGTGAAGTTAAATCTTCCTGGGATTCATTTCATCTCGGGGAGGCATGGGCTTCTCTGGAGGTCAATGGCAAAGCAAAAGCCTCAGTTATCACCTCTCAGTTGCCTTCTCTCTTGCTCGGGGAAGGGGCTTAGGAAGATCAGGCTCACCAGGCTCAAACCCGCCCTTACAAATATCCCCTCTGTAATCGCTTCCTGGAATTTTCTTTAATCACCAGTGAAATGTATTAGTGGTAGCTTGTGTGGAGTGTTGATTGCATAGTTTGAATGCATAATCTGAGGATAGCTCAGGAAAGGAATCAGAGCAAGGAGACAAATGCACATTGTCAATTGAAACAGACAAACCCCATACAATTATATTTCGGAAGTGTGATTATTTTTAAGCTCTTTCTCCGGGAGTCTGTGTGTGTATATATATTTGTACAGACACACAAAATCATGGATTTTTTTTTATTTTCTAAGAGAAAGGATAACTGTGTTTATAAGATGCAATTGATTAATATTTTCAGACCTTTTTCTTTGGGTTTAGGAGAGCAAGAAGAGAGGAAAGAGAACAGTCATGTAGTCATGAGATTCCCAGGAGCTGGATTTTATTCTTGTTGAACTTGAAACATTGTGAAATTCACGATGAGCAGGTTCCTTCTCTAGAGCGAATTGCATTTCCATCATGACTTTGAAGTAAAGGCTAATTTTGCTCTGTCTGCATCAGTCAAAACATAGCACAACACAATTCAGTTTCTTTTTAGTCCTAGTTGTATTAAACTAGACAGAGCTACCATGGTGCTGTCACTGAGCTTCTCATAATTTTTCACATATTTCACTCTTTTTTTTCTCTGCTCTATTAACAACTCGTAATTCTTCCCTCTGATACATCTGAGGCTTTTCTTGTCTTGGCTACACTGCATTTTGAGGTCAGCAGTTTCTTCTTGGAGGTGAGGAAGTCCTATAATCCGCATGCCTGGACATAACTGCTCAGTGTAAAGCCACCATCTTGTCTTCAGGCAGTCAGACATCCTGGTGGCCTTTTTGGTGGACACTCTTACAGCAGTGACATACTGCATGAATCAATTCCAGTAATTCTTTTTTGGTAGAGGAAATAACAGGTGTATAATTTCCCAATTCAGCCATATATAATTATATATAATTTGACTTAAATAGATCTAAAGTTTCCTCTGCTCCACTCTCCCAATCTGAGGCACTCTGTTGCTCTTAAATGCTATTCCTGGAAGGAATCTGAAAATAATACTTAAGAAGTTAATAGAGAGCTTGGGATAGGGTGTAGAACGTGCCAGATAATTTTCTGCACATCTCCAAAATGCTTTTCGGTAGAAAAAGAATTCCTGTATTTTCCCAAAAGCTGCTTTTCTTTTCTTGATATAGACATTCACATGGGGGTAGGGTGGGGAAAGTTAGTCTGATGAGAATTTGCTAAAGCTCAGCTAATCATTTATTAAAGCAGTCCCTGGCTTGCCAAACTCATTAATCTCATTAACAGGGAAGGAGTGCTGTGGTGCATGGCTAGCTGAGAGCACTGTGTTTTCCAAGCAGTGTGCTTGGTTCACAAGGGAAAGATTTAAATATTCAGTGTGTCACTGTTTTGTCCCTGAAGCTGAGGTAACGTGATGAGTCACTTGATCAGCTCATGCCACATCCTGGCTGTGGCCTCACACTCTGAGGGGTCCTGGAGCTGCCAGGCACTGGCCTGACATGGGCCCATTGGGCTTTCAAGGTGTTCTTCATGTTTCTTGCCCTCAGATGAAATCCAGAAAACGTCAATCTCTGGAGAGGTGAGGGTTAGACATCACCACTTGGTTCACCTTGAGAAGCAAGTGGTGGCGTTCCCTTAGTGCCGCATGGTCGCTGGGTAAAGGAAGCCTGGCAGAAAAGGCCCAGCTGCCCCTTCCTGAATAATCTCTCTGCCTGTGTCTCAGGAGAGTGCAGGAGCTGCCTCATTCCCTGCCTGCCCTGTGGGAGACCTCAGCTGTGCTTGGTGGTACTCTGGAGAGCAGCCACATCAGTGTTTGGATTTGGGTCCAGGCACTTCTGGCAAAACTGAAAATCTCCTGTGCAACTTCCACATGGCACAAGCACAATGTGCACGGTGTCCTGCATTCATTATATGCGTAACACAGCATTTCTGTGCAAGTGCCAGAGCACCCCTGTGCTCCTCAAGCCTTCACATAGAAGTCCCAAAGGTCAAACCCTGTCTAGATGAGTAACTCTGTTTGTAGCAGTGACCACCTTGCCTCTCTGCAATTAGGGTTCTGTCCACGCTGTGTTTTCCATTTCCAGCTGGGATTTATAGACTTCATTGTGCTCTACAGTTCACTGCAGACAGTGATAACTTGTTGAATTTAATATTCACTGTTTTTATCAGCCCCTTCACTTCCCTTTGGTTCTGAATCCTGATCATGCAATCTCTGCTCGCTCTTGCTTTTCAGGTCTGCAGCTGTCTCCAGCCTGACCTTGTCTCTTCATGCCTGCTGTTATACAGTTGATGCATTTATTGCTCTCTGTCTGCTTCAAGCTCCAGTGCTTTAGTCTGTGCCTTCCCCCCCTCCCCATTCTAAAGATATCTCCTGTCATTTCACTTTCTTTTGCCAATTTCCATCTCCTTTTCATCTCTGCTTTCTGGAGTGGGTGGGTTATTTTTGCTGACTCCATTTCCTCTCTTCTCTACATCATTTCTGAATCTCCTGCAACCTGACTGCAGCCCTTTGTACTTATTTTGACCTGGGCTGAGACACCTTCTCCAGCTTCTTCCAACTGAGTGAGAGCTTCCTGATTGTCATCTTGCTCATCATTCTGCTTCCTGTATTTGCCCTGATACTTTACTTGTTTTTCTTCTTTCTTGCATTTTCCCTTTTCTTCTGCTTATTGATATCAGGAAGTCTTTCTTTGTCCTCAGTGTTTTCATTCCTCACTAAGCTTCCCCAGGTCCACCAGTCCCTTCTGCAGATGTTGAGTAGACTTTCTCTTCTGCTTTATTGTCTTAAATGTTTCCTTGTATTTCCTCTTTTTCCTTGTTTCCCTGTGCATTCCCTCTTTTCCACCTGCTCTGGGTGAGGGCTGTGGTATCCCCAACATTTTCCATACTGAACCTGATTCCCTTTTCCTGGTGTTGTGTGAATGCTCCCAGACATCGCTGCCTGCAGCACAAGGAGGGAAGCAATGAAGGGCATGTGGGGGAGTTTTGGCCATATCCCTGTGGGTGGGTGGAGTGCCTCACTCTCTAGAGGGCTGACATTGCTCACTGACTCTCCCTCAGCTGCACAAGGGTGTAACAGCAGTCCCCTGCATCTTCTCTGGGGCCTTGATGCATCAGGTCCAGGCTGCAGCTCCCCTGTCAGCTGCTAGATAAACATTACATGTTGAGATCCCTCTCCTCCCTGGGAAAACTTGAGGGTTTGGGCCCTTTTTCTCCACACCTCCCACATGGAGCAGTTTGTCTCAGTGGTTCTTGCCAGCCCTGGGAAGAGCTGTGTGATTTGGATCCGCTCCTTTGTGCATCTCTGGAGTTTGGCAGAGCAGGCAGCACTAACTGGGCACCAGTGCAGAATGTGCTGGTCCAGGCACTGTTTGTTGCCTGACTTGTAAAGAGGAGGTGTGGTGCCACTGAAATGGGGAGGGAGGTGACTTATTGTGCAGTGGGATTGTCATGGATTCAGGATCTGGCCCCTTGGCTGACCTGCTGTACAAGTGGAGCATGGCCATCCCTAAAATACCTCTTCCTTATGTTTGAACTTGCCCCAGAAGCTGTGAATCATCACACCATTGTGTTAGGGCTTCCATAGCATGAGGATGCTACATTTGAGCCTTCAGCCCTATCATGCTGTGTTTTTCTTTGTGACTGTAAGCTATGAAAAAGCAAACTTATTTCTGCTGCCAGCATCCGTGCTTACATACGTTGAGGAGTGTTGCTCCCCAGCACCTGAAACAGATGGACAATTTTCTGTATGTGAGGAGAATAATGCTGGGATACAATGCAGTAACTCTCTCTTCAAGCAGTGCCAAGGCATATGATACTCATGTTTTTGTCTTCTAGCTGAGGTGGAAGGGTTGCAGGTCACTGTGCCTGAGAAGAAGAAGGTGGCCATGTTATTCCAGCCTGCTCTGCTTCGCTGCCATTTCTCTACTTCGTCCACCCAGCCAGCTGTGGTACAGTGGAGGTACAAATCCTACTGCCAGGACAGGATGGGAGAAGCTCTGGGAATGGTGACTTCTGGTTTGCAAACAATGAGCAAGAGGAACCTGGACTGGGATCCCTACCTGGACTGTGTGGACAGCAGGAGGACAGTCCGTGTTGTGGCCTCCAAGCAGGGATCTGCCATCACCATAGGAGACTTCTACAAGGAAAGAGATGTCAGCATTGTCCATGGTAACTCTCTTACCCCAGGGATGCTTGGTGGGGGCTGGGATGGACCCTCAGCAGTTTGGGACACTGGAGTCTGGCAGAAATTGTTCACTTGACTCCCTCAGAAAAGGCTGTGGGAAGAGATGTCTGGATGTCAGACATTTAGGATTCAGCCAACCAGTCCTAGATCCAAAGATAATTTCCTTTGGCACTTCCCTTCATTTAACTCTAGGTCTTCAAACACAGTATCCTTTTTTCCCTTCCATGAAGTGGAAGCTTTTTATTCCTGACTTCTGCGTATTGCTGTGTATATAGATTTTGCTTAGCAAAGGGGTGGCAGCAAGAGATACAAATTCAGTCTCTGCAGAATAGGTTTTTCTTCCTTGCAAATGCCACTGCTGTTTTCTTAGTTCTGAAATACCAAGCTTATCCTACACCTCATGTTTGCTCAGCCACAGACTTAGCCTGTCATGAACCTGAACTCACACAGCCTTGGGCAGAGTGAAAGGAGGAGATTTCTGTGGGGTGAAGTCAGGTTGGGTGGAGATGAGGGATGGCAGGGTCCTCAAGCATTTTTGTCTGGAAGGCTGTGTGAGAGACCTTGTCCCTCCAAAGTACAAAGTGTCTGATTGACCGGGGAGACCACCTAGCCAGAAGTGGAGACTCGTTGGTGTGGAGGGAATGTGATCAGCCTCACAAGAGGGAGTGTTTTCCTTTGTCTCTGTGTAACCTCTTCACAAATGGCTGAGGTGCTGTAGAGGAGACACTGTCTAAGCCCTTCTTTCATGACAGGAATAGTGTTGGGACCCATGCCCTAGGTGACAGGAAGGACAGACAGACATTAGTGACCCCTTGTGCTCTTGGCACTTGCAGGATGAGCTGTCTCTGCAGCATTATCTGTTTTCCCACCTACAGCCAGAAGTCCTGACCTGTTGTTTTTTCCTGAATACTGTGATATTCTGGATGAGGTTAAACCTTCTTCTTAGAAAGGAAATGAAATGGGTTTGGGGCACAGAGATGGATCCAGTGCATTCTTCCTGTAAGTGTTGGAGGGAAAACCTGACTTTTCTTTTTTGCCTTCCAGATGCAGACCTGCAAATTGGGAAGTTGATGTGGGGAGACAGTGGCCTCTATTACTGCCTTATTATCACACCAGATGATGTGGAGGGCAAGAATGAAGAATCAGTGGAGCTACTTGTGCTTGGTGAGGCCTCTTGTCGGGCTGCTTTTCCAGCAGATACCTGATGCATCTTTCCTCCTGCTCTCTTGCTGTCTCTCCATCCCCATGCACTGTATTACTATGGGTGTAAGAGCTATGTAAAACAGTCCCTGCAGTGCTGTCACCATTGCCTTGCACCTTGTGCAGTCATTCACACCTAGGCAAAGTGGGTGGCAAATGCTACCAAACCAGAATAGTAATGTTTACACCCACACTGCTCACACGTTACACAGGCGTAAATGACTGCAGAGAGTGCGGGGCTATGGAAAGGCAGAACCCTTGTTTTTAAGGGATAAAACAAAAACTTGCAGCAAAATGAACACTTGAGACAGAGTCTTTTATCAGCAGACACCCAGAAGACATCAGATCCTGTGATTTTTGCAGTCCTCATCCCACTCCTCTGACCTGTGAGGCTGTCAAGAAGCACTGTATTGAACGTGTCAGTTTGGGAGATTTTTTTTGTGTGCCTGATAACACTTGTCCAGTTAGAGGTGCAGTTTCACAGTCATCCTAACCTGGTCTGACCTGGTGCTGCCACTAACAGGACCTGCCCTCTCTGTGGTGTGTGTGCTTGGCTCTGCTTCTGTTAAGTTCCCTTGAGCAGGGTGCTGAGCAGGATCAGTTTCTTCCCTGTTTGCAGGGTTTGCTTTCAATGGTGGCTTCCATGATACAGCTCACTGTAAAGGCCAGAAAAGCAGCCATTCCAGCTAGAGGAGAAAAACAGAGTGGAATGGGCCTTTCAGAGACTTTTGTTGACATGCCTGGAGCTGGCTGTAGTACTTCAACCCTGGATGCTCCAGGAGAGTAAGCTGAGTTTTTCCAAGTTACCTTAAGACCTCACCATGGCTCTTGTGTGAACAGATTTTGCATCTTGTGATGGAAATATTAAAAAGCTTGGGGTGATAGTGTGTAGGTGATCTGTGGAGGTGTACAGTAGAACATGTCAAGCATTCCCTTCATCTCCTACCAAAGGTCAGAGTTTAATTGGTGTTTATATTTGGAGCTGTAGTTATCATCACCAGGTAAACCAGACTGAATGGGTGAGTGGCTGTCACAGTGCCATTGCCTCTCCTCACCCCTTTAATGTCAGCCAAACAATGGACAGTTGGAGTGGAAGGTCAGAGAGTGGAAGGTCAGTCTGGTCACTCCAGAGAACAGTGTCACACGCCTGTGTAAATCCACAGTGTGACATCTGTGTATCATCTGCCACTTGGTGACAGACCCAGGACCAACCTGTGTGGGTTCAGGTGAGGTTATCTCTGCCAGGTGGCAGTGGTAGCTGTTAAAATCCTCTCCTGAGGTCCTGTGTCTCTGCAGTGATGAACTGCTGAGTTTTTGTCCCTTTTTCACCTTCCTGTCTGGGATTTGGTGTCTTCCTCTTGTATATCTACAACTGTGCTCAGACACCAGTGATGAGACAGTACCATGGTAACAGGAAAAATTGTTTTTTCAGTGTGTGCAGAGGGCTGTGGGGAGAAAACACAGAAATCCCCTCCTTTGGAGCTGGTTTGATGTCTCTGCCCCCAGTTCATTGTGGTTATGTTGGGGGACATGTGGTTTAGGCTGCATCACCCTTGACCACATGTGCTTTCCTTTTCCACCTCTGGGGCTGACCTTGCCCTCCATGCAGCTCTCTGCCAAGTTTGGCAGCAGCATGAGAGCAGACTTGTCGTGGGCTTCCTTCTGCCTCATGCTGTTAGGCAGCTTCTGTATATTGCTTTTCCTGGGTAGAGGCAACATTCCAGCTTTTGGTGCAATCCAGGATTACCTGCCTGTTTTCTTCCTTCCCCCTCTTCCCCTTCCCACCTTTTTCTTTTCCTTCTGCCTTTGCTGTTACTTTTTTCTTTGTTTTCTTTTATCTCTCCCTATTGATGGCTAAAGGATGAAACAGCCAGTGATGAAAATACTGTTTCTTAATATTCTGCATATTCTGGGATATTTTTTGTTCCCATTGCTTGGAGGGAGACACTGAATACAGACGTAGGTTGCAGCAATTTTACAGTCCTAGAGGACATGTGATAAAAGGGTTTTGTTTGCTGTTCTGCTGCTCTTTGGGTGGAACCCAGATTCCCTGTTAGAGAGTTTGGAGCAGCAGAGGGATAGTGTGTGAGAGATGCTACAATTCCCAGAGCACATTGCTGTTTGCTCCCTGCTGACAGTGGTCTCTCAGATACAATTTACATTGCTTATTTTGGGGTTGCTGCATGATTTCAGCATAAATTAGAATTTTGAATAGAGCAGAGGTTCTATCCACTCATGTTATCCTTGGGGTGACAGAAAAATCAGAACGGAAAAGGAAATAGGAAAATATCCCTTCAAGTGGTTTCATATTAATGCCAGGATAAAAGGGCAGTTTAATACCCTGTTGAAACCATGAAAGGACTGAGAAGCAAAAATGGTAGATATCATACTAATAGCATCAATAAATTAATGGAAGTTTGTTTAGCTAGAAGTGCAGGGGCCTGCTATTATACAGTGAATCATACCATGAAAAATTGATCAAAAGGCACTTTATCACAACTTAGAGCAAAATCTAAAACCTGGGCAAATTACAGTATTTCCTTTATTTTTTAGGAAAGTGATCACAGAGACCTTCAGTGGCCTCTTGAGCAGCCAGGGAGCCTGGGTCATGATGGGATTGCAAGTTGGGTTTTGTTACCTGGATGTGTCATGTTGACACTCAAAGCTGCTGGTCAGCATCAGAGAATCCCATGTGCTGTCCTCATGTCACGCCTGTTTCAGAAAAGCATACAAGCATTTGTTTATATCCATTTGTGCTCAGCAAAGCTGATAGGATTTGTAAAGCATACCTGATGTTAGGCATGTGTTTATTATGTTCTTTGCTGAAAAGACCATTCGGTATCTTCTGCTTAGTCAGGGACTTTCACCCTCTCTAAGGGAATCAATGCAGGTGAGGGAAGAGGAGTGGCAATCTCTGTCTCAGAAACACAGGAGATTGGGATGGTGAACCTCTTCTAGAGTAAGGAGAGAATTTAAATTAAAAAATACAATTACATATTTATTATATTTTAAAAATATAGTTGAGACCTTATTATTTGCAACTGTCTGAAAGGAGGTTGTAGCAAGGTGGGGCCTCATCCTCAAGCTGTGTTGGGAGGGGTTTCAGGTTGGACATTAGAAGGAATTTTGTCACATAAAGGTTGGTTAAACATGGGAATGGGCTGCCCAGGGAGGTGTTGAAGTCACTGTCTCTGAGGTGGTTAAGGAAAGACTGGATGTGGCACTCAGTTCCATGGTCTGGTGGTGTTTTGTCACACATTGAGCTTGAAGATCTCAGAGGTCTTTTCCAACCTAAAAGACTCTGATTCTCTGATATATGTGCATTTTGATGGCATTTGGAATCTCCAAACAGGATGTAGTGTGCTGGAAGTTGTATGAACTCTGCTTCTGCTGCAGACTAGTCTAGAACTTAGCAATTCCACAGCAGGAATCAAGTGAATCTCCCTGCACTCATGTGTTTTATTAGAAAAGGAGAACCTTTGCTGACATTACAGCTGCGTTAATGAATCCCTTTGAAACTTTATACATTTTAATTTTTAAACTTTTTAATGTGATTGAATCTGAAAGGCTCAGTCCTAAATTGATGAAAGTCTACATTGCTGTCGTAGTAGCTGGCAGCTAATGTCCTGCTTCTTGAAACACAGGCAGTGCTATTAATCATATTGTTATTTGTAGCCCCTGTGTATTGCTCTTTTATATGAGAATGTCAATGGGCTTCAGTGAAGTAATTCATTGCAGCCTTTCTGAAGGGAGCTGCACGTGTACCAGTGCAGGGATGCAGCGTGCCTGGGGTAACCTTCAAACCAGAACCACAGGGCAGTGGCAGTGCCATCCTGGCTTCGTGTTGCCAGCTCACATCAGGAGGCAGTCCAGCTTCATTGCATGGCCTTGCATACAGCCCAATAAGCCTTCCCAAGAGCCAGAATTCACTAACCAGGTGCAGGGACCTATGGAAGCTGCTACACTGCTCCCTTCCCAAGCTGGAAGAGCTAAAGAGCAGTGCCTGAATGTACAGCTCAGCACGGCTGGGCACCCTGGAGCCCATAGGTCTATGCACGCTTGGTGATGTTTGCATTCTGAGATTTTACATAGCTTAGACATGCTTCACAAAACAGTGACTCCATTCCCTGTGAGGTTCTGGAAGAGGCCAGAAAGTACTCCACTAATTCCAGTTGTTGGTTTGATGCTTTGGTTAGTGATCCATGCACTTTGCTAGACAGATATTGCCAGCTTTCTTTTCCATCCAATTCAGCAGCTAATTTTACATAAACTGTGTATCAGTAAAATATTATTTTATGGTGAATCATAGAATCATTATGGTTGGAGAAGACCTTCAGTGTCACCGAGTTCAGCCTTTGATTGATGACTACCACCTCAACTAAACCGTAGCACTAAGTGCCACATCCTGTTGTTTCTTGAACACTTCCAGGGATGATGACTCCACCACTTCCCTGGGCAGCCCATTCCAGTGCTTAACCACCCTTTCAGTGACAAAATTCTTCTGATGTCCAACCTGAAGCTGTCCTGGTACAGCTTGAGGCCATTTCTTCTCATTTTGTCACTTCTTTCCTGGGAGTGGAGTTCAACCCATCTTTCCACACCCTCCTTTCAGGCAGTTGTAGAGAGTGGTAAGGTCCCCTCTGAGCCTCCTTTTCTCTCCAGGTTGAACATCCTCAGCCACTCCTGATCAGATTTGTGCTCCAGACCCTTCCTGAGCTCCGTTCCCTTCTATGGACTCACTCCAGCCCCTCAATGCCTTTCTCAGAGTGAGGGGCCCAGACATAAACACAGGACTTGAGAGGCCTCACCAGTGCTGAGCAGAGAGCAATCACTGCCCTGCTCCTGCTGGCCACACTGTTCCTGATCCAAACCAGGATGCCACTGGCCTTGCCCACCTGGGCACACTGGCTGATGTTCGGCTGCTGTTGATCAGCTCCCCAGGTCCTCTTTCATTGCAGTTTTCC